CCCTTCGGTTTTATAGGTGGATCCTTTCGGTGTTACCGTATCTATTCCGACACCGACTGTCTCAACCGTTCCAACTAACACATTTGTAATTACAATATTAATATGGTTCACATTTAATAGTTAATAATGCATTAATGCATGCAAATGATGCACCCCAAAGTGCCCCGGTAACCCTGATTACCGCATTATCCACTCACACACTAGCACTTTTGTTATAGGGATCACATTTCTTTCCCAATATCTAAAATCACTCACATTAATCACAATTATGATTAATTAGATCAAACACATTGACCAGGGGTCCATTTTCATACATTTCGACCCCGAATCCTAAAAACTGCACTTCCGGTATTTCATATATTTTGCACCGGATATTGTACTCATTTGCATTCGAAAGTCATATTATCACATCAAACATCATTTAAAAATGCTGCATGCAAAATTTCAGGTCATTTGGATTAAAATTAGCACATGTGATAATAAGATTTAGAAATCAGGGTTTCGGCATTACTGACACCCTTTTCTAACCTCTATCGTACTTATCGTTTAAAACAACCATATTTATTCTCACATACACGTTTAATCAATGAAAAATAGCCCCTAATTGAACCGTTAAATCACCTATTTCACTCCCATAATTTCGGTTTACCTAGTCCTCGAAAAACATACCGAACATTTCAAATAGTCATTTTTCACATTTTTATCACCTTTAGTTTAATACCCATTTTTACCAGCCCATTTATCATGCTAAATATACTTAATTTCATCCATACAAAATCTGTTTTGACATTAACTAATCTGCCCATGTCATGTGAATTAAAACAGCCCATTACAAGTAAAGTAAAACAGTTCATGAATTGCACTTAAATCAGCCAACTCGTTTAAAACATACCAGCCTTCCTATTGTTCCAAAATTCTACCCACATTCCCTCAAATGCATTAGGAAGTGGTTACCCACAAGCAGCTGATGTAATCAAATGCACTTTTCCACTAAAATCCACACCAACATGTGCCTTCATGAAACCATAACACGAAGTTTTTTTTTTCTTACTATCATAACTTTCCTTGTCCAGCTTACTATATCTTCATATCAAAATAAAGCTTACATATTAATAAGTCATTACTTCTACATCATGGAATTCAAATTTTCTCTATAACGCTTAACATAAAAGAATCTCTTTAAACTATAAACTGACCAATATCCTCAATTTTACTGCATTTGAGAAATAAAATTAAATTAAACATTGAAAATAACTTACAATAAGCTTGTGTACAGACCAACTCTAGTTACAGTTGTCTTTCTTTTTCTTATTTCGGGTCTTCTTCCCTTTGGTTACTCTCCCTCACTCTTGGTTTCTAACCAGCAAGAACACACGCACACACACTGTTTTTTTTTCTAACACACACACACACATACTCTTTTACACTTGATTCACACACACACACCCCTACACCCTAAAACACACACACCTACACACACGGCATGCATACACAACACATCCCACCTTGCATGCCTAATGACTCACCAACTTCATGTTAAAACATGTGTAAAGTTAGGTGAATAATTACACTTGCTCTCCCCAAGTTTTAAAATAATTTTAAAATCGACCCACTAATATTTTCACACATGAAATTTTATAATTAGGTCTCACCAATACCTTACTAACGGGGTCTACATACCCAATTCATGCTCACACGCATCATGCCTATAAAAGAATTAATTTAATTAACTCCTTTAATAATTTTACATAATTACAATTTAGCCCACAAATTTATACTAATATACATGCAATGCGTAATTGGGTCTCACATAGATGACTCGAAGAAACATGACCTAGATGGGAATGCCAAAGATTGAAAGGAGAGTTGGTTAGAACGGAAGCAGCAACAATAGAGAAGACTGAGGAAAATTGTCATTTTGGAAGACGAAGACACATAAGCTCAAACAAACGTTCGTACTTTTGGCCTATCCAAGGGTTTTTCCTATCTGTACATCTTGGATAATACAACCAGTAGAAGACAGTAAAATAGTGAGTCTGAGGTCACAAATTGACCCACATATATGAGATTAAGAGTAAGACTAGGTATGAAATAAGTATGGGAAGTGACACATGGGATGTAGAGACATGTCCAACGTGATTGACATACATATATAAGCCATCTTCAGTGTGAATGGGTGGGATAGAACCAATATATTGTGTGGAGGAGAATAATGACTCATCAGGGGTCATGTGGTTACAACTTGTGGATTCAAAGAACCAAGGTGATTTACTTGAAGTGGCAGACAAAGCAGTAGAAGATGGATTATGTGACGCACCAAAATTTGGGGGTCCTTTCTCAACACGTTGATCACTCATCAACTTGCAGAAATATCCGTGTATGCCACATAAGCCCTAACCACATCATCACACAACCATTCCAAGGCCCAATATACATCAATTTGTCCTTAGCATTTTACCAATTTCAATCTTTAAACAAAAAGGTCCAAGGCCCGAAAGCTTGACAAAGTTATATTTAAATTTTTTTTAAAATTTTGGAAGTGGTATCGGTAGCTATCTCATGTGGTACCGGTACCTAAACCTTCTTTTTACCAAGTTTCTTCTAGTCGTCACATATTGATACCTAGTTGTCGGGGTACTGATACGTGAGCCCACTATTTGCTAGGTATCGATATCTTTTCGTCGTGGTACTGGTATTTGATCCCACTATCCATCGAGGTACTAGTACCTGAAGTCTTGGTATCAGTACCTGAGTCTACTAGAATTCAGGTGCTAATACCCGTATGTCGACGTATCGGTACCTGGGCCTTCCAACTACATGGTACCGGTACTTAATAACTTAGGTACCGGTACTTGGGCCAAGATTTCCCCCAATTCTTTTCAATTTCCAACTTTAACTGTCCACTCTCTTCCTAAGTTCACCTCAACACTTTCCTAACATATATGCATGTTTATTTGCACAAATTGTAGCCCACAAGAGTTCATTACACAACCCTATATACAATATTACAAGTCCAAAACAATTTACATCATTTTTTTACAAAAATGTAAGCTAAAAGCCACATTTTGGCTTCTTCTCAACCACGACCCAAGTAAGAGTCGTGCACTAGCGCTTGTCCCACACCTGAAATGTTATCCTATAAAGGGCGAGTCACGCTCAATAGGGTACCTCCTAAAGAGACTACTCCCAAGCCAGATACATTTGAAATACTCACATACAATTCCACAATCAATTAATCATCCATTCAAGAATATATAATTCATAGTGGATTATGCAATGCATTGCCATGTCATGAGATGTCACTCACATATGTAATGCAACACAAGCCTTCCACTAGCTTTCATACCACATGCAATGCCATGCGTATGCATCCGGGCATTCCAAACCTCCGCCATTGATGTTACACATCCAATGAACATTTATAAATCCCTGGTCTTTATTGGGGTGAGAATTTATAGACTTCCACCAACGGATATCCAACCGACACGACATCTATAGACTTTCACCAACGGCTCCACGTACGCCGACACACTTTATGAACTCAATACCAATGGAGTGAATATCCAAATCACCGAGTCTTGTACTTGAGGAATAATCTAGCCCTTATTGCTAACCCCGACCCTTATTTTCAATGCAAACTCGTGCGACTCAATTGAACATTGGTCTAACTTTTCCGAACCCATGCATCATCCATCAAGAATGGTATTTAATCAAACCATGCACACACCCACACTTATGCCAATTGCCTATGAATGTGATGCTACCCGTGCATATACAAATATAATGAACAATTGAATTTCATATCATTATGCAATCAAGTTTTCAATTACAATTACAACATCATGTTCAACATGTCATGAGCATAACATGAACAATTTCAAAACCTTAATGTAACTTATATCATAATCATATAATTACATTCCAACTACTTCACAAAGCATGTAATATTAATTTCATTCAAATAAAATACTAAAATCATTCAAGGCACAAAATCATGTAAACACATAATCATGCCCAAATCGTCACATTTCTCATGAAATTACCAAGCAAGCAATTTCAACAATCCAAATTTATGCAAAATTGGTTTACAAGTTCTATACCCATTTCCCATACTCTAGTTACACTAAGAATATGTCTAGACAAGAGATTTCATCTCTAATCATGCTACCCATTGCATATACAGCCCTAGGTTGGAAATAAATCTAGGTAGGAGAAGAACCCTAACTCTTGAAGTGTAATACATGTAGAGGAAGCTCCAAGAAACCCAACTCAAGCTTTAAACCTTGATTTTCAAAAATCTCATTCTTGAGACTTTGGCCAAATTCACGATTTTTGGTACGTAGAAGTAGCTCTCATCGCATAGAACAACTCTTATTCTTGGTCTCGTGACACTCGATCGCATCGTAAATCGAAAAAAAATCTGATTGTCTCAGAATTCGACGAAAATTGACTGGGCTAGATTTCACGAGATGAATCCAACGTTATTGTACATTCCTTCATTCGAGTTCTAGAAAATTTTGGGTCTTTGACCATTCTAAAATGGCTAATTACCATTTTTCCCTTCTTAATAAAATTTTAATTTTTTTTGAGTTTTACAAATTAACTAATACAGAAAGAACCTTTTTGAGAACAGCCTCAAGATCATTGTCATTGATAGTCGAAGAAGGAGACTTTGGAGGACAAGAGTCATTGACAGTAGAAACAGTAGTGTGAGAAATAGACATAGACTTGTCGTTGGACTGATTGCCAGATCTGTACTTTTGGTTGGTGTTAGGTTTGCCATTCTTGGGAGCATTATGATATAGATTTTATAGACCATTACTCAGATAATGGCTTGAGCTCTTTTTGTGATAGAACTTGCAAACTTGGTAGGACAGTTGAGTAGAGCATGACCAATCTTGTGAGAATATGAGTAGTGAGACTGGGGCATATTAGATAATGCCATAGTGGATTCTGGATGATCAGTGAATGACTAGAAGTACACTGGAGGACGTCAAAGGATGGCCGGAATGAGATCGGAGGATGACTGGAAGGTCATCGGAAGACAACCGGGAGGCAGTCAGAAGGTTGTCAAAGGATGGATGGAAGTCACCGGAGGATGGTTAGAAAGTCGCCAGAGGATGGTTAGGCAGCAGATCAAAAGGTTACCGAAGGATGGCTAGAAGAAGAGTCTCAAGAGTTTTGATGTGGAGGATCCCTCGCATGGAAACCACAGAGCATACTATTCTTGGCAAGAAGGATTCTCGAACCTAGGCACTGATATCATGTGAAACAAGAGAATATAAAATGAATATCAATTGTATATTGCTTTGGTATAATTTATTTTATACATGAGGAGGTTTATTTANCAAACTTGGTAGGACAGTTGAGTAGAGCATGACCAATCTTGTGAGAATATGAGTAGTGAGACTGGGGCATATCAGATAATGCCATAGTGGATTCTGGATGATCAGTGAATGACTAGAAGTACGCTGGAGGACGTCAAAGGATGGCCGGAATGAGATCGGAGGATGACTGGAAGGTCATCGGAAGACAACCGGGAGGCAATCAGAAGGTTGTCAAAGGATGGATGGAAGTCACCGGAGGATGGTTAGAAAGTCGCCAGAGGATGGTTAGGCAGCAGATCAAAAGGTTACCGAAGGATGGCTAGAAGAAGAGTCTCAAGAGTTTTGATGTGGAGGATCCCTCGCATGGAAACCACAGAGCATACTATTCTTGGCAAGAAGGATTCTCGAACCTAGGCACTGATATCATGTGAAACAAGAGAATATAAAATGAATATCAATTGTATATTGCTTTGGTATAATTTATTTTATACATGAGGAGGTTTATTTATAGTATAAGAGCGTAGTGAAGTTTTCTAGTCTAACCGATGTGGGACAAACTTATATACATTAACAGTTTGTTTGTTTGTTTTTTTTTTTTTTTCCTTTGTGTCATTTGTCTATTTCTTTTTTTTTTGTTTGCATTAGTCTTTTTCGTACATATATGTATGCATTCAAACTAATTGTCTTGTTTTATTATTTTTTTATTTGGGTGATGATTACAAGTTGAAAGATATATTAACATGTTAATTGGGTGGACTTTAGTCATTAATAGGGTGAAATCAGTCACAAATTTATGGGTACATAATGAGGTGGGTTTAGTCATTAAAGGGGGTATATATAGAATGAGTGAGTTTAGTTAATAATGGGGTGTGTATAGCATGAGGTAGACTTAGTTACTAATGAGTTGAGTATAGAAAGGGTGAACTTAATAGTTTGATAGTAAAAAATTAAATGGGTGGGAATGGATATTTATGGGGTGGGAATAGCCCTACATTTATTAAAATGAATGGACTTTGATTCACCTATTTTAAAATCCTTGAAATTGAAAAAGTAATTTTTGCACGTATTTCTTAGTTTTGTGTGTGCTATATTCAAGTTTGAACCATATCGATCATGTTCGCTTAGAAAAATGATATATTTTATTCAGCTTTTAATTTTAATCAAGATGAAACAAAAACATAAACAATCTGATTAACTAGGACGTGATCAATAAAATGAGCAATGGCTATGGGAAAGGTCATGAGGTCACATGGAACCCTCAACCTATGTAATATTATGGTTCAAATAACTCTCTTCATAACTTTGAATCAAGTAATTTTGAAAGTCCAGCTTGTTTAAAAACTCCTAATCCAAACACAATATAAAGGGTGTCTTAACATGGAAAACTTGAGAAGCATTGGCCAGATCTTGGCTGACTTTGTCTGTGTACCTGGTTCCCTTAAAAAACTTCTCGACTGGATAAAATTTGAAACATTGAACAATGATCGGGCTTTTAGACATGGGCCTACAAGCACAGATTTGTCTGAGTCCAATCCTCTGAATTTGGCCAAAAGTTCAAAAATGAATTCTAACCGGATATGCCCATAGTATGCTAATGGAGCAGTTAGAATTTATCCACTTCACTTGTGCAATAGACAACATTCCAAAGTTCTTGCAATGAGTTGATTAATTTTTTTTGTTTGGGTAGGAAACAATAATAGTTTCATTGATTAAGAATTGAAACATCAGTTTGAAGAATTGGCAACCAGAATTCAGGTGAGGCCTCTCTCTATATTAAATGTAAGGTACAAGAGTTGGCAAATCTAGCAAACAGATGCACCACACAATTGCCTGATCCATGAACTCATGAGAAAGGGAAATGAGATACTCGATCGACATAAAAATAAATATGATCTATAACATGGCTCATAGTAGACAAATGTTTATGCCATGTCTAGATAGCCTCAATAACAACCTTCTAGTCTCCCTCCAACACTATATCCTGGTAACCCATTTCAACAGCCTATTTGATAGCTATAAATGCTACCCAACTCTCTGCTTGTTTAGCAATAGTCATACCATGAATAGGTTGGCTCAGTCATTTAATAAATCCACCATTTCTGTCTTTAATACCCCAATCTCAATTGCTTCCCTGGATTCGAAATCACTCCATCAAAATTGATTTTGAACCCACCTGCAAAATGGGTAAACCATTTATGCACTTCACGATCCCCAAGGTAGCAGAAAATTTGTGAGTTGAGGTCCTAAGATGCGATAAAATGATTCATGTAGAGAAATCCACCATTTGCTTTGGATAATTTACCTCTTGATCTAGCGTCACTCTATTTCTATTATAAGAGATAGACCACACTAAAACCAACAGAAGGTGAAATTCATCTTTATGAAGGGTATCTGTTGCACAGCTCAATCACTCGTGAATTTAAATTGATGGACGATGGCTAACATTGACCATTCAAGAACAAATGTTCCACGGATTCGTCTCACTCCCACACAAATAGCATACAATTTCCACATGCATCCTTCCACATACATTTTCCACATGCATCCTTCTTTGTTTTAGGAGGCACTGTGTTGGCAAAATACCATGATAAATGCTTCATAAAAAGATATTTATTTTACCTTCCAGGTTAAGGTCCCAGATCAAATTACCATTCCAAACTCTAGAGTTGCTACCGGCCACACTGGAATTAACCCTGGTCTTTTGTATACTTGGATTCATGATCAAATGATAATCGTTCTTTGAATTGATCTTAATCGTACACGTCCAAATATAAGTGGTCAAGTTGTAATATTCTCGGTGAAATCTGACGTCGATTCCACAGGGAGTTATATGTTGGAAACTTGAATACAAAAAAGAGTAAATGAAACCTAGAGAAAGATTGTGAAACAATGGATTGTGGTGTGAGCTTAGTGATTTGAAAAATAGATTGCTTAAAAACATGAGTTTGCAATAAATGGAAAAGGACACTCTTTAGCTCGGGTACCGGGACATGCATGTCATTGTTTGAGTTTATGATATTGCTACCATACTACAATTAACCCCCACATTAATGGTAAGTTAATCGGAAGGTATTTAATATAAAACCATAACACAAAAACCTTTAGGTTTATCAGAAGGTACGTACATCATAACATATCCAATTATCCTAGCAAACCTAAAGGCATACAGCCATTCAAAAGTTTACTTTAATAATTGATCAGAAGGTTTATGATTTAGTGAAAAACATTGCTCCAGATTATGCATTGAATCAAAAGCATTCGATATGGCGAGACTTAACCTGTATATAACCAATCTCCCAACTTTTACATAAAACCCAGCTTAGTAGTTTATTGAAACATATATGAAGTATATAATGTAAAAAGGATGGAATGGATATAACAATAAACCCTTGCTTGGTACTGGCATGAACTATGAACATAACCTAAGTTATACATTAGGAATACAAAGTACAAAAAATTAAAAGAGAGTATCATCCATTAATTAAGGGAGATATATAACAATAAAGAATAAACTAAAAATGCAACTATCATAAATCAAACAATCCCCCTCACTAAAGAGCTAATGAAAAACTACCTACTCTTCATAGTCATAGACAACATAGAAAAGTGGGTGATTTTCATTCCTCCAAGTAAAATTGGAATAACAATACAAAACAATAATACAAAAACAAAGTTCCTAACTCTTCCCTGATGTTAGATTGAAACACCACCACCCTTCGTTTGCTAAGGCAAGCTAGGAAAAGTAAGAGAGGTTCAATCCTCCAAGTAGGAGGAGGTCTTCAAGAAATGTAGAAGAGAGAATAGGCTCAGAAAGCCATAAACTGAAACTAAAAAAGAGAATGAAGAATGACTAACTCCTCTTTGAAAACTAGCGAGAGAGGGGTATTTATAGGGAAAGACTGGGCAACAGCTTCCAAGATAGACCAATAAGAGATCAAGGCAGGGCAGGGCAGGGCAGACTAATGGGAGAGCAGGGCAGGGAAGGCAAACTAAAGGGAGAGCAGCATCAAAGTCAGTTTAACCACTATCTGGATGCCATCCTCCATTGTCTAGGTGGTGCTCTTTCACTGGAATTCTGGAAATTTTCTCATTGGGTCTTGTGCTGATGCAGGCCCTACCATTCAGATGGTGCAATGGCATCTGGACGCTGGCAATGTGGCTCCAATATTTCCCTTTTTGCACCTTGGCCACTTAGCCTTCCAATTTCACTTTTTAGACCCTATAATTTTAAAATAACATGTTTTCATCCATTAGTAAAAATATCATTTAACTTTTAACCCTTTAATTATTTAATTAATGCAATTAACCCTTAAACTCTTATAAACAATGCAACATTTTAGGGTTAATTACTCTTCAAAAAAAATTGGTCAGACTTCGTATAATGTCAAACAAACTAGGAAGAAAACTCTCACAAATAGGAGTGGTAATAATATCTTTAGCTTCAAATTTCAAAAATAAACTCCAAATCTTTTCGGTATCCCACCACCTCTTTTCCTTATCCAGTAAAGAGCTAATCAAAACATCATCAGATAAATTTTGAAGTGGGATAATAACTTTAAGAGAAGTTGGACAAGTGATCCTCTTGTCAGCCTTAATTATGAGAGTATCTAGACTACCTATTCTCTATCCCAAATCCTTTTCCAACACCTTCCTTGCAACTAAGATTTTTTCGCCAACTGAACGAGGGATACATCGCCAATTTTGCGTTCATGAAAGAAGAGTTGGGAAAGTTCTTTGCTTTAAAAACCCTAGCCAAAGGAAAATTATGAGCTTGAATTAACCTCTAAGCTTGTTTGGCAAGAAGGGCCAAATAAAAAGCCTTCAAAATTTTGAAGCCTAGACCTCTCTTCGCTTTTGGTAAATATATCTTGTCCAAAGTCAGACAATGAATTTCTTGGGTTGATCCCTTATCACCCCATCAGAAATTTTCCATTAAACTGTTAAGCTTATTACAAAAAGATTGAGGAACTTTGAAATACGACATAGCATGGATTACATCGCTTTGCCATGACTTTAATTAAGGTTTCTTTTCTGGCAATTGATAAAAACTTACTTTGTCACCCTTGAATCTTTTGATGGATTCTCTATCGTATTGAATCAAAGATTTTTTTCTTAGAAACCCAACAATAATCCCAAATACTTGTCATGACTAGAAGTAGTAGGGATTTGTAATAGATTGTCCACTCTCCCTTTGTCCCTTTGATTAACATTGGAGATTAAGACCCATTGAGACTTTGATAGATTAACACTCTGACCTAACGCTTTCTCATAAATCTTCAAACATTTCATAATGGCCCTTCCATTCTCAACATTTGGTTTTGTG